TTGTTATTAACCAGTATGAATTCCTCTGTCTACTCTGAACTGTCCAGTAACTTCTATGAACCTGAAGTTCTGTATTTTTGAGAGTGAACTCAGTTAAAAGGCTTAATATTTCCTCAAATTACACCATTTATACTAACTTGGCAACCCTAACAGCTCAACTGCATAAAACGTAAACAGAAAGGCTAACAGGGGAGAATCATTTGGAGGTTTAATGACAATGTAAACACAAAGTCGAGTCATGAAAATATCCCTGTAAACGGTCTGTACACTCCTTAAAGCTCGCTGGTCAAAGGTGAGCAGATTAGCCCTGATACGCGGCTTCCTACACAGAGGCAGAGCAGAGTTTCTGAGGAGCTGACTAACGAGGCTGAAACTGGCCTCTCACTCCAACTTTCCGTTCCACCTTAAATAGTGGCGCCAGAATGTAACAGCCGCACCATTTAAGGTGGAATGGAAAATTCGAAAATTGAGCTGACGTTTACGACGAATACACGTATATATATTGAGTTTCTGAGTAAAAATGAGAGAAAAATAAAAGGCTAAAGCTCTGAAGTGAGAGGTGTGAGTGACAGTGAGGCGGTTGAGGAGCTGAAACAACACAACTGAACGAAATTAAACCCCCAAGAAAGTAATTAGGAACTTAATCTTAATGACTAAAATGGAAATATTTCAAAGAAAGTATGTTCAAACTGTACTTCAGCACAAATAGGAGCTTCTTGTTGCTGCCAGCTTTATGGCACAGCAGTGTAAAACTAACATGACTGAAAAGTCAACCTGGTTAGTTTGAGATTTTAGCCATGAAAACAACAATAAAACACCTTTAGGTCTGTCTGACTGAGGAAAACGAGCGGCTGAGTAAAGAGGCAGGTGGTGTCTTACCTGAGGAGCAGGAATGGAGTGAGAGCTGAGGCTGTTGATGTCTGAGTGGAGAGCAGCTCCTCTTGACTGGTTTCTCCAGTCGGACTCGTTTTGCTGCTCTCGGATCTCAGAGGCACTGACAGATTTCACATTTTACACAAATACAGGAAGAGAGAATAAAGAAAGTCAAAATAGAAAGAACTACTCCGCCTGCGCACTGGCGCTCTCTCCCTGCCAGGCCTCCAGGTGGCGCCACTGAGGCCAACCAATGAATCACTGCACTTCCCAGGTGAGTTAATCGATCGCTCACACTCGATTTGTGCCTAGTTTTAGGTTTTAACTCAGTGTGTGAGATGTAAACAGAGTCATTCAGAGAGGTTTGGTGTGAAATGGTTCAGATGTCTTTCCAGTGGTGGTGATAGGAACCAGGGGACGCCATGACTACAACACAGATATAGACATTTTATTTACTATCCAGAACCACCAGTGAACCTACACGAGTCTTCTGAGTTTATATGGAATGTTGATGATGATAAAATAGTCATAAATATAAAAAATAACTTTTCTTTGGGGACTATTTTGTCTTCATGTATCCCTCCACCATGAAATAAATTGATTAAAATACATTTTTGACTAAAACTTCATTTAAAGACTACCATAAAACAGTGTCTCGGTCATCAGGCAGTGAATTCATAACCATTTCACGTAGTAACTTTCTGTGAGGAGCTTTTAGAGGTGGACGTCTGGTTCCTATCACCACCACTGTGAACAATTCTGACTCAGTACATTTATCTACAACAGAGCGTTTCACACCAAACCACTCTGAATGACCCTGTTTACATCTTAACCACTTATGTAGAAATTTTGAAGAATTGGTGGAGTTCCCCTTTCAGTCACGTTTGTTTTCAATATCATGGATACGAAGAAGTGCAAATTTCATAAATTCTGAAGTTTAGTATATAAAAATCTGATTCTAACGTCAAAATTCAGCTGTTATTTGTAGACCTTTTACTTAAGCATGTAAGAATTAAGTTCCTATAAGAATGAATGGCTTTTCCAAGTTTATATTTAATATTAAATTAATTTATAATGTGAATTGTTTCATGCAAAAAAATGCAGTTCTTACACGTGAAAAAATTCTTGCATGTAAGAAACAAAATTAGTCTTAGTGACATTTAATTTATAACAGTAACAATTAAAAATGTCAAATGTACATTTTTTAATTTAAACGTTACATTAAAATTGATATCAATTATTTATTAACTGAAATCTAACATGGTGAAAAATAATGCCTACTAGAAAAAATTTGATTTCAGTTTTTTAGATTTAAAATTTATGCTATATGCTGTATGAAACAGGCCCAAACTGTAGCCCATCGGCAGCTACATCAGCCCCCCGCCCCGCCCTGCCCTGTCCGTCAGTGAAAATAGACCACCGCTGACCAGGTGTTATTTGGATGGTGGACCAATCACAGCATAGCAGTGACACTGAATTACAAATAGTCTGTCAAATAGTACACTACCATTAGTGTTTCCTTAGTATAGTAGTACAGTATGTATAACATGGCATAGTATAGAATAATTAAGCAGTAGAACACGAAATAAATAAATTAAATAAATAAAGTAATAAATTAATAAACTGGGCCGTGAACGCGGCGTTTAATATGTTTTAATGCTGCAGTTCCTTCACCAAATTATAGTTCCTTAACAAGCAGCTTGTAGCTGCGTCAGAGTAACGAGCTCCGCCCACTCGCTGCACAGTCTGCTGTAAGCCTCGCCTTTTAATGTAACTGTTACGGACTGAGCCATAAAACTGCCACAATATCAAGTTCAGCTCAGTTTTGTCGATTTTTGCCAGATCAGTATTAATGTTGTTTTGTTCCAGCCAGTCTGTAAAGCATCTTACAGCCCATTTAGTTTGGCGAATGGTGTTGGGTTCATTTCTGGCTGATTCCAGGTTGTTCAGCTGTTCTTCTGTCACAGCTGCCGACGGAAATGCTGCTCAGTGGTGATGACAGTTTGGGAATTTAGTGTCGTCTCATCTTCAGAGTCTGACCAAATCGGCTGTCGGTCAAATGTGATCTTAAAAGTGTCCATTTTCTGTTTGTGGCAAAGTAAGAAGTAAAAACGTTCAAATGGCTTGAGCGTCTCCTACAGCTGTCAAAGTCTTAGCAACGGCGTCTCAGCGGAGTGATACAGTGTTTGTGAAAAAAACGTGAAATAACAGCACAGTTAGAGCGCTTCTCAACCAATCAGCTTGTGTGGCCGGAACTAACTGTTGTATAATATAGTATAGCACAGTACTATGTACAGTACAGGAAAGTATAGCATAGTACAGTACATATAGTATAGTATAGTGATATGGTACGCTATAGTTCTCAGCACAGCAGTGACACTAAACTGTAAAAACAGTACAATGCTATGATTAGTACATTCACTTTAGTACTGTATAATGTATTGTACTATAAAGCATAGTGCAGTATATGTAGCATGTATAGTACAGTACACTTATTACTGTATAGTACAGTACAGTACAGTATAATATAATACAGTATAGTGTAGTACAGTGTAGTTCTCAGTATAGCAATAGTCTGCCAAAAAGTACGCCACTATTAGTCGTACATTTCTTTCATTTAATATGGTATAGTACAATATTGTATGTATAATATGTCATAGCATAATACAGTATGTATAGTGCAGTGTTGTACCGTATAGTATATATTGCACAGTGTAGTATAGTATTTATAGTACAGAATAGTTCAGTACAGTATAGTATGCATAGTACACTATAGTACAGTATAGTATGTATAATACAGTATAGTATAGTTTGGTATAGTGTATGGTTTTGGATGGAGCCATTGGTAGTGGCATATACTGGCACCTCTGTGTATTTCTGCCCTCTAGTGGCCTGAATCTGCTATTACCACAACATGTACCATCACTAACTTTCCTTTTCCAGGTTCAGGAAGATGAGGACTGCTGGAAAATTACACCTCCACCCATTCAGCTACAGCAGTTTAGCCCCACCATTCAGCTACAGCAGTTTAGCCCCACCATTCAGCTACAGCAGTTTAGCTCCACCATTCAGCTACAGCAGTTTAGCCCCACCATTCAGCTACAGCAGTTTAGCCCCACCATTCAGCTACAGCAGTTTAGCTCCACCATTCAGCCTACAGCAGTTTAACTCCACCCATTCAGCTACAGCAGTTTAGCTCCACCATTCAGCCCTGAAGTTACAAGGAGTGTTTCAGCTCAGAATGAAGGACAGCCAGTCAGAGCAGAGCTCATTTCCATATATCAGTCTTAAAGGCACAGTAATAAAATCTGTTTAAGTCTAAGGCATAAAGAGAGGCTGGAAAATATTTAGGTAAAAGGAATTATAAATCTAAAAGATTAGGCAGGATATGGGCTCTTTTAAGTAGCTGAATTCACCCTTTAGAAAGGCTGTCTGGATACTTTTGGATACATGGTGTACATACTGATTGGGGAACATGCTGAGAGTTTACAAACTGTGGGCAGAAATGATCAATCAGTACATATAAATGTAATTAATAAGGTTTTTTTTTGAACATTTAAAAACTATTTTAACAGTTCAAATAACTGCTGCATGTAAATTACTGCTAAAATTTGCATAAACATCCAGTGAATATTTAATTTTACTCACAGTACAAATTTTAGTGCAAACACTTTAATGCTTCTTAGATGCTGCACTTTCAGTTTCGAAAAAGTAATATCACAATCCTAAAATTACAAGCTGTTTCGAGTCATTTTTACTTCACTGAAGTGAAGGTTGTGCTGCTTCTTTGACTCCTCTGTTATTTACATCTATAACATTTACAAAATACAGAACATTTAACATCTTAACAAGCGAAACTCTGGAAGTTAACATGAATCTAAATGTGATACGGTCTGATGTGGATATTGACACAGAATCAGATCGCAGTTTGGAATCCCTGTTTACAATAACGTACCCCAGCCTGGATGCAGATACATGTGTTTTATCACATTTCCAGAAAAAAATACAGGGAGAAAAATATCCCATATTTTTTTTCAAGTATGAACTTTGACTACATACCATATACACTTATTTATGGTCAATAATTATTAGTAATTCTTCTGTCATCACAAACCACATACTACTACTACTAATAAAAAGAGTATTTATTATTAAATGTTTTAGTGTTCAGTTAAATCAAATGCAATTACATTTAACAGTAGAATTATAAGGGACTCTTATTTTGATCACTCTTATTTTGCTATCACTGTAATTTAGTTGTGGATAAATTAGTCATGCTCAGTTTGATCAGTTCCTCTTGTGTGCAGCACGACTGTTATATTTAAGGTATATTTTTTTTATATTAGTATATTATTATTTAATTTCCTATAAATAATTAATATAAACATAATAATTTAACAATAATATAAATATCATTTAATAATGTCTCATAACCAAAAAATGTGTGATGTGCGATGAATAAAACATCTAAAAATACATTTTGGTGTCCAGTTTAAATCAGTCTACAAGTTCCAACTAATTACCAGACATGACTAATGTGTGATTCCGAACTTCTGACCAGTAGTGAATATAATTTTAGTTGGTGTTTGTGCTGAATTAAGTAAATGAAGGTTAATGGAGGCTCTTAGAATGCAGCCGGTTTTCCGTCTTCATGTTCTCCTCGAGTCTGTTCCACCACCTCCAACGCCACCATCTCGTTCTGTACCTGCTTCTTAAAACTCCGGGATTTATTTCCCCTGCAAACAAAAAAAACAGTACAGTCATCAACAATACATTTCAATAAAGAGGCCAGAGGTACAAGGTAGGTGTTTCCAATAAAGTGGCCAGATATACAAGGTTGGTGTTTACAATAAAGTGGACAGAGGTACAAGATAGGTATTTCCAATAAAGTGGCCAGAAGTACAAGGTAGGTGTTTCTAATAAAGTGACTAGACATACAAGGTTGGTGTTTCCAATAAAGTGGCCAGAGGTACAAGATAAGTGTTTCCAATAAAGTGGCCAGAGGTATTAGGTTGGTGTTTCCAATAAATTGGCCAGAAGTACAAGTTAGGTGTTTCCAATAAAGTGGACAGAGGTACATGATAGGTATTTCCAATAAAGTGGCCAGAAGTACAGGAAAGGCATTTCCAATAAATTGGCCAGAATCACAAAGTAGGTGTTTCCAATACATTGGCCAGAAGTACAAGATTGGTGTTTCCATTAAAATGGCCAGAAGTACAAGGTTGGTGTTTCCAATAAACTGGCCAGAGGTACGAGGTAGGTGTTTCCAATAAAGTGGCCAGACGTACAAGGTGGGTGTTTCCAATAAAGTGGCCAGAAGTACAAGGTAGGTGTTTCCATTAAAGTGGCCAGAAGTACAAGGTAGGTGTTTCCAATAAAGTGCTGCTAATAAAGTGGTTCTCAGGTGTAAAAGTGCAACACTCACTCTACCCACAGCAAAAGGGCAGCTAAGTGGTTAAAAACATGACATTTTGGCCTACAGGCAGGGCCTTCATCAGGCAAACGACACAAAAGGACACCACTGGCATATTCTTCAGTCTGATCCAGCTTCAGGGAAAACCTCTCAAATCACTCCATCTTTATCATTTCGGAGAGCTAGAAACATCAAAAATATGACTGTAAAATCAGACATCAGTCAGGTTTGTTATGGATCCCTTTATTGAACTATAAATGTGGGACTTGTTTTCAGTGTCGTTATACACAATGAATGAGAGGTTTCACACATTTTCAACTCCTAATGTGGTTTATGCTATTCGTTGCTCATGTCGTTTGCCATATGTGGGGGAAACACCTAGGGAGTTGCACAGTTGATTGAGTGAGCATAGTAGTGCCACTGTAACTTTGGGTGAGCAGGAGATGAAGCAGGATACAAGTGCAAGTTGGTTTTATCGAAGTCCATGGCAGAAACAGGAGCAATAGGCAGGAAACCAAGAACACGAGTAAAACAAACAACGTTCAAACACGTTCACCTTCAACGGCAAGCAAAGACAAGACTGAAACAAGGGGTTTATATTTATATACACACACTGAGGACATCAACAAGAAACACCTGGGAGTAATTACTGGGAGGGTCTAAACACAAGACACAGGTGAGGGGTGTGGCAGGGGCGGAGCTGGAAGGCAAAACAAACAAAGGCACAGTTGTAACCATAAGCACATGGCAGAGGAAAACAGAGAAAACAAGGCTAAATCGGAGAAAAACAAGGACAGAGCAAGACGGGACGTTACGGCCATACGCAGTGTTGATGTCCCCAATACTGTAGCACATTTTAAAAATGGGGGTCGTCCGATTTGTGAACTCTGTTTTGATATAGAACAAGCAGTTGTGTAACACTGAACACTGATAAACTACGTAAATCCAGGGAAACTTTTAGGATGTACCACTTAGATACATTCTCTCCAAAGGGACTCAACCTTGAAGCAGACTACACCATTCGCTTTTGAAAGGAACGTGTTGTCTCGTCTCATTCTTGTGAATGCAAGTGTTAAAATGTAACTTTTGAGTTTTTATCCTCTGTTGGTGCTTAGACCACTAGATGGGGCAGCTGAGGAGATGAGAGCGCTCCTCTAAGTAGGAGGCCACACCTCTTTTTAATAATAATAATAATAAGAAATAATAGCCATAGCCAAGAGAGCCCAGCAGCGCCTCTACTTCCTGCGGAGACTGAAGAAGGCTCATCTCCCCCCTCCCATCCTCACCATGTTCTACAAGGGGACTGTGGAGAGCATCCTGAGCAGCTGCATCACCGGCTGGTTTGGGAATTGCACCACCTCTGACCGCAAGACCCTACAGCGCATAGTGAGAACAGCTGAGAGGATCATCGGGGTCTCTCTCCCCTCCATCATGGACATCTACACCACACATTGTATCCGGAAAGCCACCAGCATCGTGAACGACCTCATCAATCCCTCACACGGACTTTTTTCACTGCTGCCGTCTGCCAGAAGGTACCGGAGCATCCGTGCCATCACTGCCAGACTCTGCAACAGCTTTGTTCCTCAAGCAATCAGGTTTATAAACTCACAAGGGCTGAACTAACACCCCCCCAACACCCCTCTTTTGATGCACTACTTGCACTGGAACATTACTGCTAATGCTGTGTTTATACTGTTTTACTACCTCAGTAACTGCTGTGCTCATGTATGTTATCTGACTGTGTAACTCACAGATCACAGCATGTTTAATACCTCTGCACCTTATTCCACAACCTCATGCTCAGAAATGAGTGCTGTGTCGGCGCTGCACCGTCGTGTCTGTTTACTGTGTCTAATGTCTGTTTAATTTATCGTATTTATTGTATTGTTTCTAGCTTAATTTTTTGTTTGCACACTGTCTGCACGTTCGCACTTTGTACTTTTTGTTCCATGTTGCACCGTGTTGTTCCTGGAGGAACGTGATTTCACTCCGCTGTGTACTTGTACATAGATGGAATGACAATAAAAGCCTCTTGACTCTTGACTTGACTAATAATAAGTTACATTAATAGCACCTTTCACAATCCAAAGAACACACACACAAGAAAAAAGAAGCTAAGACTAAGCAGTAAAGGAGGAAGAGAAATGCTCTGGAAAGAGAAAAGTCTTTAAATCAGATCTGAAAGTAGAAAAAGAAGAGCGGTCACGGAGGGATTGAGGAAGAGAGTTCTAGAGTTTGGGGGCTGTGGCACTGAAGTACAACCTCCCAAGGTGGAAGACCTGGTGCTGGGACAGGAAGTGGGTTATTACAAGAAGACCTGAGAGAGCGAGAGGGAGAGTAAGAGGTCAGGAGTTCTCTGAGGGAGAGATGAACAGGGTTACGCAGGGCTTTGAAAGTGAGAAGTAAAATTTTAAACTTCATACGGAACAGAGAGGCCGGCGAAGAGGGAGATACTACGACGGCATTTTAGGGCCACTGTTAATAAAAATAAAAATAGTAGAAAAAAGTCGTACTATTTGGAGGATAAAGTGGGCTAACTGTAGGGGGGCTAACTGTAGGGGGCTGCTATAACGTATTGTGGTCTCGGTTGCTATACTGGCAGTGCTGGAGGTGCTGCCTTCCCTTTGCAATGCCCTTGGGCACAATATTATGACTTCTTTCTCTAAATAGTACAACTTTTTTTTCTCTAAATAGTATGACTTTTTTTCTCGAAATAGTATGACTTTTTTCTCTAACTAGTACTTTTTTCTCTAAATAGTATGACTTTTTTTCTCGAAATAGTATGACTTTTTTCTCGAAATAGTATGACTTTTTTCTCGAAATAGTATGACTTTTTTCTCTAAATAGTATGACTTTTTTTCTCGAAATAGTATGACTTTTTTCTCGAAATAGTATGACTTTTTTCTCTAAATAGTATGACTTTTTTTCTCGAAATAGTATGACTTTTTTCTCGAAATAGTATGACTTTTTTCTCTAAATAGTATGACTTTTTTTCTCTAAATAGTATGACTTTTTTCCTCAAAATAGTATGACTTTTTTCTCTAAATAGTACTTTTTTCTCTAAATAGTATGACTTTTTTCTCTAAATAGTACTTTTTTCTCTAAATAGTATGACTTTTTTCTCTAAATAGTACTTTTTTCTCTAAATAGTACTTTTTTCTCTAAATAGTATGACTTTTTTCTCTAAATAGTACTTTTTTCTCTAAATAGTACTTTTTTCTCTAAATAGTACGACTTTTTTTCTCTAAATAGTACATTTCTCTAAATAAATACATTTATTTTTGTATGGTACATTTCTGTGTGTAATATTTCCCCATAAATTTTAAAATAAATGCATTTAAAAATATATTTGGTTAATATGGCAACATATTCTGAAATGCATTTTAGTGTTTGGAATGTATTTCAGCATGGACTGCAATGGATTTGAAATGTATTTCAAATACATAAAAATCATCATCATCATCGTTAACTGCTTAGTCCAGATAGGGTCGTGGTAACAGCACGGTGGCGCAGTGAGTAGCGCCGTTGCCTCACAGCAAGAATGGCCTGGGTTCGATTCCCGGCCGGGCGACCAGGGTCGTTTCTGTGTGGAGTTTGCCTGTTCTCCCCATGTCTGCGTGGGTTTCCTCCCACAGTCCAAAAACATGCAGTCAGGCTGATTGGACACGCTAAATTGCCCCTAGGTGTGACTGTGTGTGTGACTGTGTATGTCTGTCTGTTTGCCCTGTGATGGACTGGCGACCTGTCCAGGGTGTATCCTGCCTTCCGCCCAATGACAGCTGGGATAGGCTCCAGCACCCCACCGCGACCCAGAAGGATAAGCGGTGCATAAAAAAACATATCCATATATATTTTTTTCCATATGGGTAACAAGCACAGCATCAATATTAAGAGAAAAAGTTCATTTGTAATTGCAGAGGTTTTTTAAACGTGTTTAGGCCTTGTGTGTGGGCCTAAACACGTTTTTAACCAAATAAAGTCGCCCTGTTGCTGAGGACACACCTTTTCACCCTTTTTTGAATTTCACTAGCGGTTCACCTGTAGTTGGCGGACACACCTTTTTTCTTCATCTTGCTTCTAAAAGAGTCAGAGTGGTTTCGAGGTGTTTGTGAGGTCTTGTTTCTGCTCACCATTTCTCCTCCACGTCCTCTATGGTGTCCGGCAGAGGGACGCTGAGTGTCTCTGGAAGGAGGAAGGCAGTGATTCCAGCCACTACTGCAGACCCTCCATAAACTATACTGGGCAAAGCAGGTAACACTTCATCCAGGATGAGAACAGCTGGAGCAGCCATGGAGCCCACCCGGGCCATGGTGGAGACAAAGCCCATCCCAGTCTGCCTGCACACACACCATTTATTTAATTAGACAGAATGTCCTGATACTTTTGGACACATTTCACCAGGGTGAGACTGACCTGATGACCGTGGGGTAGAGCTCTCCGGTGTACAGGTAAACACAGGTAAAGGAAGCGGAGGTGAAACCCTTCCCCAGCACAGCCAGCGTCGTCCTTACGAGCTGCATTTCTGTGTGAAGAAGCAACATCAGAGAAATTAATGACGACTTCAGTCCACGTTGCCTATAATGTTTGAGTGGTTTGATGTTCTTCTCTGAAATGTTTAAATGGTCCACATGTTCTCTGAGCTCTGAGGGCCAATCTGAATACATTTTTTGGATTGATCGGTCCATCGGACCATATGACTAAAAAATTAGAAGTAAAATCTCACTTATGATTGTTTGCGAATGCAGACCACGCCTTGGTAAGTGAGATCATGAGAGGAGGGGAACTCTGAGGAAATTTTGGGCTGGAGTTCAGTACGGCTTCTGCGGATCACGAGAAGGCCAACCCCCCTATCAAAGATCACGTGCAGGTGTGGACAAGGTGGAGGAGAAGAGGAGGAGGAGGGGTGTGAAATTTTGTCACGAGTAAGAGGAGTGAAGGACTGGTATTTATAGGAAGCTGAAATTGGGAAGGAGGAGTTTAGGCGTGGTCTTTCCTCAAACTTCAGTTATGTCATAACTCCATATCATTCAGTCTTTTGGCCACTGATCTTTAATACGAAATCCAAATCGGATTTTTTAAAACAGTGATTTCCCCATCTTTGTTTGGTGTTATAACGGTAATAAGGTTCACCACGATATGTCAAAATTCTGCCTTTTTTTTAAATTATGGCTGTCAAACTTACATTCTTCTTAAAAAGATGATGCTTCAGTGGTTCTTTATTAAAGAAAATGGTTCTATATTGAACCATGATCACTTAAAGAACCTTTTGCATGATTAAAGTGTTCTTTGCATCATGAAAGTGTTCTTCAGATAGATGGAAAATGTGCATGAATGTGCTACAGACAGTTCTATACAGAACCTGTTTTGAAAAGTGTTCTTCTATTATGACGAGCCTGACGCCGTAACTATAGAAGAACGCTTTTGGGGCTTTGAAAACCTTTTCAAACAGCTTCTATATGGAACCATCTACAGCACATTCTCCATCAGTTTGAAGAACCCTTTCATGATGCAAAGAAGCATGCAATCATGCAAAGGGTTTTTGGAGCGTTCATGGTTCTAAATAGAACCATTTTCTTTACTAAAGAAACCTTAAATCACCATCTTTTTGAAGAGTGTACGTCTGAATGGCTAAATAAACACATTCCACTCATTTATATTATAGAGGGGTCGCTGATTGGGGGTGTGCGAGATCACCAATAGGTGGCGCTCATAGAAAGAGGGGGAAATCAGAGGCAGGAAAAATTGTAATAAAACTAAGCGTGATAGCAGCGAAGTGAAGAAGCTCCACTCAGCACAGAACACGCTCGATTTCGACATGTAAATGTGAAATATTCAAAGACGATTTTTCACAACAAGACAATAAATGTACACCAGACTTTGGAATTTCTCCTGCTCTCTATCTTTTTTTTTTTTTACCCCGATTTTCTCTCCGATTTAGTCGTCTCCAATTCCACCCCGCTAGTTAGGACTCAATGACCCAATCGTGGCCCAATCACACGATGCTATCAACGCTAGGAGGGTGAAGGCTAACACAGGCTTCCTCCGAGACCTGTGAAACCAGCCACCGCATCTTTTCGAACTGCCGATCACGCAACGTCACTGGACAGCTGAACGCGCTCGGAGGAAAGCGCCAACTGCCAGATCTGCGGCAGACGCCTGCGCTGACTAGCATTGCGCTTAGTGGGTGATGGGGGAGAGAAGGGCAGCCATCCCACCCACCCAGAGAGAGCGAGGCCAATTGTGCTCTCTTGGACTCCCTTGGACTCCCTTGGACTCCCGGCTACAGATGACTGTAGCATCACCAGGGATTGAACTCGCGATCTCCTGATGACAGGGCCAACGCTTAGACGGTTGCGCCACTCGGGAGCCCTCTTTATCTTGTTTGCACCACGAAAAAAAAACATCAGAAAAGGTGTTGATAATATCTCCTCTGTTTCTCAGGAAACCGGCAAACTAAAATCATTCAGAAGGCTTTTCTCTTTGGAGAAGTGGAAGGAGAACGGAGAGTTTCTCCGCCTCATTGAGGAGCTAAAACTTCAGTCTGGGCAGAGCTGTTATCATGCTAGCTAAGCTAATGCTAACCAGCTCCTCTCTCCTAGTTAGCAGCACTGTTTAACCTTTATCAGTCATTAGATAAATGGAATGATGCATTGAAAACTGTGCACTGTGTTCACTTATTGGGTGACCACGTAAGCGAACTATGTGGGGGGATACTGCCCAACCCTAGGTAGGGGTTCCCAATCCTGGAGACCACACTACCTGCATCAGGTGTGTTAGATTAGGGGTGTAGCTAAAGTCTGCAGGGTGGTAGGTCAGAGAATGTGTAGTGTGGAGAATTTCCACTCAGTAATGTCTTCAAACGCTAGAGGGCGCTCCGGAGCAAGTCCAAAATAAGTAGGCTCCTATGTAGCTTTTGTGAAAATCATGGTTTGTAATTGCCTAATAATTTTTATCTAAATACATGCACTAATTTACTGCACACCGAAAAGCATAAAACATTTTAAAACTGCTGTTATATCTTAAGTGCTTTTAAACTCCACTTACAGGACTCTATAACAGTGCATCATAGACATTCATGGCGTCATTGAGAGTGAACCATTTCACTCAGACAACAAGCTGATCACCACCCAATCAGCATTCAGTAGCAGTAATGTTAGCGTCCTATGACACAAAACCTGTTTGTTGTAGGAAAAAAGGAAATAAACCGATTTCTTCTTTTTTAGTGAAATACATCTGGCAGCTTTCCTAAATTAAAGGAAGATCCTGGACAAATGGTTAGAAACTAATTTAAATGAATTTTCTTGCTGTTTAGCTCCATTAACCCCCATTCATTGGGCGCCCTCTAGTGTTTTGCAGTCATGTTTTTGGTTTAATAATAGCAAGTCGCCTGGCTCCCCCTTAAACTGGCTCTGGGTATCTCCAGGTCCAGTGTGAAGCCCAATCCCCATCCTGATTTCACTTCCCGAGGACCCTCGGCCAGAGTTAGCCAGTTAGCATGTTTTCATTACGATGCCGAGTGGATCAGACACAGCAGTGCTGCTGGAGTTTTTAAACACTGTGTCCACTCACTGTCCACTCTATTAGACACTCCTACCTTGTCAGTCCGCCTTGTAGATGTAAAGTCAGAGACGATAGCTCATCTGCTGCTGCACAGTTTGTGTTGGTCATCCTCTAGTCCTTCATCAGTGGTCACAGGACATTGCCCACAGGACACTGTTGGCTGGATATTTTTGGTTGGTGGACTATTCTCAGTCCAGCAGTGACACTGAGGTGTTTAAAAACTCCAGCAGCACTGCTGTGTCTGATCCACTCAGACCAGCGCAACACACACTAACACACCACCACCACGTCAGTGTTACTGCAGTGCTGAGAATGATCCACCACCCAAATAGTACCTGCTCTGTGAGGGTCCTTGGGGGTCCTGACCACTGAAGAACAGGGTAAAAGGGGGCTAACAAAGTATCAGAGAAACAGATGGACTACAGTCTGTAACTGTAGAACTACAAAGTGCACCTATATAGTAAGTGGAGCTGATAAAATGGACAATGAGCACAGAAACAAGGAGGTGGTCATAATGTTATGCCTGATCAGTGTATATGATTCATCCAGTAACACTGCGAATACCATGACCAGAAACCAGGGGAAGTAAGATCAGGACGGGGATGTGATACTGGGCACCACACCAGATTTACAAAATTGTCTTAAGAAAGAAATCGGAGTCCATAGCAACACTTCAAAATAAAAGTCAAGCAGACTGTCTGTCTTTTTTTACCTTTAGGGACAAAGATGTTGGCGAATATGACGGACGCTGATGCCAGGAGACAGGTGGCCTGGGTCAGTCGCCGGCCGAGGAAGCTGAGCATGGCCAAAGCCACCAGTTTAGCGGGAAAATCCACCGCTCCGAATATGATCTGCATCAGATAAATATTCACACCGAACTTCTGCAGGTCCATCGCCAGACCATAATACGCAAAACTGGTGGAGAACCTGTTGGAAAGGATTGAAAGAATTATTTCTGTGTTTTTTTCTCTTATATGCCTAAAAAGCACATTTAGTTTGTGAAGTTTGCTTCTTTAGTTTCAGCTACTGGAGCTATGAGGCTCATATCGCTAACCAGTAGGTTATACTGTACCAATTAGCATGGTGGGAACAGCATGCCAATCATCCCTAGATCATAAATCAACTGTCAAATTGTCAATTGTCAAAGAAAACTGTAATGAAAATGAAAAATTACTAATAAAAATCTTAAGTTTAAGATAAATAAACAGTTTTTGAAAACTGTTCACTGCAACACAGACAAAAGTACTACAGTGTAAGTATTACAGTGAAAGTATTACAGTGAAAAAAAGGTTTATATTTTTAATGCATCTGGATTCTTTCAGACGTCTTTGAGTAAAACATGCAACCTGAGTTGTGCTAATTTATCATCGCTAAAACAGAAAAAAACTTGCCCTGCGAGAAACGATGCTGTGCATTCTGACAAAACATTCATCATTATGCTGAAACAAAAAGCTTAAAGTGAAACGATGTAATAACTAAATTAAAACTCTTCCTGTCTGGAAAACAAAAAAACAACCTAAAACTTTTAATGCATTCTTTAAGCCAAACTGAAACCTTGCAGTAACACTGATGTGGTGGTGGTGGGTTAGTGTGTGTTGTGCTGGTACGAGTGGATCAGACACAGCAGTGCTGCTGGAGTTTTTAACACCTCAGTGTCACTGCTGGACTGAGAATAGTCCACCAACCAAAAATATCCAGCCAACAGCGTCCTGTGGGCAGCGTCCTGTGACCACTGATGAAGGACTAGAGGATGACCAACACAAACTGTGCAGCAGCAGAAGAGCTATCGTCTCTGACTTTACATCTACAAGGTGGACCAACAAGGTAATAGAGTGGACAGTGAGTGGACACAGTATTTAAAAACTCCAGCAGCACTGCTGTGTCTGATCCACTCAGACCAGCACAACACACACTAACACACCACCACCACGTCAGTGTTACTGCAGTGCTGAGAATGATCCACCACCCAAATAGTACCTGCTCTGTGAGGGTCCATGGGGGTCCTGACCACTGAAGAACAGGGTAAAAGGGGGCTAACAAAGTATGCAGAGAAACAGATGGACTACAGTCTGTAACTGTAGAACTACAAAGTGCACCTATATAGTAAGTGGAGCTGATAAAATGGACAATGAGCGTAGAAACAAGGAGGTGGTCAGAATGTTATGCCTGATACAGCACCATAATCCTTCTCCTTAATTGTATCTGTACTAGGGGTGCGGGAAAAATCGATTCTTAGATGCATCGCGATGCGGACATGGACGATTCTGAATCGATTAAAAAATGTTAAAAATCGATTTTCTAAATATTTAATTTATAACGTAGCTAATGTTGATGCAACGCAAAAGGCAGAACCTGGAAGTGCGGAAGTGCAGCGCCCAGACAGTCTGTAACATAACAAAAACATAGTTGGACGAGTGAGAAATCCGACCGGCTCCTTCTGCATTAAAAGCCAGGTTAGGTCAGGAGTCACAACCTATATGTTAAGAAGAGCCATTTTGTCCTGTCAACAAAAATCAAACCACCTTGGGAGCCACAACATTTAATGTCCAGTATGTCTCAGTGTGTGCTGATGTCCTAGTATAGGCTAATCAATATGAACGAAAACACAGATTTACTTTCCTCTGCTTTAAGCTTTAGCTACAGCCGCTTTCCTCCCATCTCCACCAGAAAACTTTTCCTCGAAATTTTCCGTTCCACCTTAAATTCTGCCTGAAGCGCCAGAACGTAAACGCAGCACCATTTAAGGTGGAACGGGAGAATCCGAAAGAGAAGCTGACTCCTTTTTAGTGTTTGACAGTCTCTGGCTGCAGATTTAACGTACCAGGAAACCAACTGCAGTGCTTATAAATGCAAATAAGTCCATTATTCTCCAAACGTTCGTCTTAAATCTCTCTCAGTGACATCCCCTGAATCGTAATTGAATCGAATCGTGAGGTGCCTAGAGATTCCCACCCCTGATCTCCCATTGCACATCCTTTTACTTGCAGTTTGTTTGTACCCCATGTATTTTTTGTGTTTCTAGTTTATCCATCCATCCATCATCTAAACCGCTTATCCTTCTGGGTCGCGGTGAGGTGCTGGAGCCTATCCCAGCTGTCACTGGGCGGAAGGCAGGATACACCCTGGACAGGTCACCAGTCCATCGCAGGGCAGACAGACATACACATTCACACACACACTCACACCTAGGGGCAATTTAGCATGTCCAATCAGCCTGACTGCATGTCTTTGGACTGTGGGAGGAAACCGGAGTACCCGGAGGAAACCCACACAGACACGGGGAGAACAGGCAAACTCCACACAGAAATGACCCTGGTCACCCGGCCGGGAATCAAACCCAGGCCCTTCTTACTGGGAGGCGACAGCGCTACCCACTGCGCCACCGTGTCACCCTGTTTCTAGTTTATGTTTAGCTATAACAGATCGTTTTCTGTATCCATTTTATTGGATTTAATTTTATATTGACATCTGTACCTAGAGAAATTCCTTGTACACCTGGTACTAGACGGATAAAGATTTTGATTCTGATTCTGGTTCAGAAGCCACATAATCAAGTCTGTAGGACTAAACTTGACCACACTATCGCTTTAAGACTGGGAGGATTCTTACCAAACCACCACGAGGCACACGGAGATCTTCCTCATCACTGAAGTGCGCAGCAGGTCATACGCCGTGTACATCGTTTTACTGGACTGAACTTCTTTCTGCATGTGTGTCTGAAGAACCTAAACACAAACAAACAACTGATTCACCGACGCTGCTGCAGATTTACATCCTCCATACCATTTACAGCTTTCTTGGCACTGCTTTATCAGCTTTATCTAAACCACTGAAACTGTTATACACCCTAAAGGCTCTCACAAGTCTTCCAGATGAGTTTTGGGACGCCTCACTTTTTTCTGAAATCTGAATGTTCTTATTGTTTGCACAGTTAATGTTTTGGCAGTTTTCTTTTCCAAATTACTGGTAAAAGTATGTATTGAAACTGGTCAGTGTATTCTGTTCTAGAATTAAAAATCATGTTGAATTAAAAGTAATCGTCAGCAGTATGTGAAGGCATTGCGCTCCAAACCTCCAGGGTGATTTTCTCCGTCATCTCTGGTCGGCCGTTGATCCTGGCGACGCGGTGCAGCTGCTTTAGCGCTTCATCTGACCGACCGTTCAACACCAGCCAGCGGGCAGATTCAGAATACCACCTAAACACAACCTTAATACTTTAATCGTTCATAGCAGTTACTAAATAATTCATAGTAGATACTGAATAATTCATAGTAAATACTAAATTATTCATAGTAGATACTGAATCATTCTTAGCAGTTACTGAAAGATTCATAGAAGATACTGAATCATTCATAGTAGGTACTGAATCATTCACAGGAGATACTGAATCATTCATAGCAGTTACTAAATTATTCATAGCAGATACTGAATCATTCTTAGCAGTTACTAAATTATTCATAGTAGATACTGAATAATCCATAGTAAATACTAAATTATTCATAGTAGATACTGAATCATTCTTAGCAGTTACTAAATTATTCATAGAAGATACTGAATCATTCTTAGCAGTTACTAAATTATTCATAGTAGATACTGAATTATTCATAGCAGTTACTAAATTACTCATAGAAGACACTGAATCATTCTTAGCAGTTACTAAATTATTCATAGAAGATACTGAATCATTCATAGCAGTTACTAAATTATTCATAGCAGATACTGAATAATCCATAGTAAATACTAAATTATTCATAGTAGATACTGAATTATTCATAGCAGTTACTAAATTACTCATAGAAGACACTGAATCATTCTTAGCAGTTACTAAATTATTCATAGAAGATACTGAATCATTCATAGCAGTTACTAAATTATTCATAGCAGATACTGAATAATCCATAGTAAATACTAAATTATTCATAGTAGATACTGAATTATTCATAGCAGTTACTAAATTACTCATAGAAGACACTGAATCATTCTTAGCAGTTACTAAATTATTCATAGAAGATACTGAATCATTCTTAGCAGTTACTAAATTATTCATAGTAGATCCTGAATCATTCATAGGAGATACTGAATCATTCTTAGCAGTTACTAAATTATTCAAAGAAGATACTGAATCATTCTTAGCAGTTATTAAATTATTCATAGCAGATACTGAATAATCCATAGTAAATACTAAATAATTTATAGTAGATACTGAATCATTCATAGTAGATACTGAATCATTCATAGCAGTTACTAAATTATTTATAGTAGATAGTGAATAATCCATAGTAGATACTGAATCATTCATAGTAGATACTGAATCATTCATAGTAGATACTGACTCATTCATAGCAGTTACTAAATTATTTATAGTAGATAGTGAATAATCCATAGTAGATACTGAATCATTCATAGTAAATACTAAACTATTTGTAGTAGATAAGGAATAATTCATAATGGTTAGTGAACAATTCACAGTATATACTGAAAAATTAACATAGGTACTGAAAAAATCACAGCAGTTACTGCATAATTCATGGTACATTGTAAAATTCATACACTCTTACAAAAGATGGTTCTTCAAGAGTTCTTTAGTAAAGGGAATGGTTAGAACCATATGTGCTATTTAGAACCATTTCATGCTTAAATGTTTTTTTTGCATGGTGAAATTGTTCTTCAGATTGAAGGAGAATATAGAACCCTTTTGAAAATGGTTCTGTGTAGCACCAAAAAGTCTTCTGCTCTTATAATGTCAAGCTTGTATACAACAGAAGAACCTTTTTTGGTGCTATATAGAACCATTTCCAACACATTCTCCATCAATCTGAAGAACCATTTCACCATGCAAAGAACCACTTAAGCATAAAATAAGTCATGGTTCTAAATAGAACCATTCCATTTCCTAAAGAACTTTTGAAGAACCATCTTTTTAAGTTTTGAGTGCAGTAGTTGCTAAATAACCTACAGTAGATGCTAAATTATTTAACGTAGATACAGAATCATTCATAATGGTTAGAAAATAATTCATAGTAGTTACTGAATGTCAGTAATTGTTTTTACTAATAATTAGTAATATTTCACTGTTTTTTCATGAGCCTACAATTCTGTGCTGATGTAATTCTCGCGTTCTCACCAGCTGTAGATGAAGAAGACGAAGTGCGGAGCGCAGACGGCCACATGCAGCTTGCGCCAGTCCTTTAGACTGTAGGCCACTCCAGCCAGGATCATCTGTCCAAAGGTGAAGAAGAAGGAGGAGATGGTGCCCACCAGAGTCCGGGCTTTGGTGGGGATCCACTCAACCTCTGCAAACACACGACTCACTTACTGAAATTACCATTTAGGATAAACAGTTACAATGAGCAGTGGTGGACGAAGTACACAAACCATGTACTTGAGTTAAAGTAGAGATACAAGGTAAAATATTACTCCAGTAAAAGTAGAAGTTCCTCCCTTTAGACCTCCACTTGAGTAAAAGTACAAAAGTATTTGCCTTCAAATGTACTTAAGTATCGAAAGTGAAAGTACTAAAAGATTAATTATGACTCTGATGTTCTATTATCATTTTTGTAATAAGACTCGCTTCATTAACTCATTTTAGGTGAAAATACTCCAGTGTCTCTCTTGGTAAACCAGTCTTTTAATGGAATGTCATTAATTAGTGACGCTGATGTCTATTAAAATTATCATAAGCACAAAACACTGAAGGCAAACAGTTTCCATCAGGTAGAACTGACTGGCTCTGAAATCACTTTTTACAAACAAGCAAAGTTTCAGTTTAAGATTTATTTACAACTTAGTTACAAGTTTAAGATTAATAAAAACTTTAAACTCAGATTCACAAATGAGTTTCCTTTACTAAACTGCATCTGTAGGTCTCTGTTCATAAACACAAACTAGCCTAAACTAATTTATATACTACTATAAATTTACATATTACTATAAAATGAAATAATGTTTGTATAAATTCAGATAAAAGACACGTCAGTCACAACTGCATATGAGCACATATTTCTATATTGTGGTCTATTTACACAAAGTTGAGAGCAATATGTTATATCTGTTCGCTAATTCTTTGATGTGTGATTGTCAGGCAGTGTAACCCCGTCCTGCTTTACCTGCTAAAGTGACCTAAGTATAGTGTGGATATGCTTGCACTGGGTCGGTATGTCCAACAGGTCAAAACAAGCTCAAAACAAAAACCTGATTGGTGTTCTTGCTTTGCACTTCTTTCGTTTTAACGTGTTACATTTTTATGCGCACAAAAGCCAAAAGGAACGACAGATTTCTCATAATGTAGTGGAGTAAAAAGTGAGATATTTGACTTTGAAATGTAGTGGAGTGAAAGTAAAAAGTCGCCCAAAATGGAAAAACTTCAGTAAAGTACAGATACACGAAAAAACTACTAATTACATTTACTTTGTTACTGTCCACCACTGATAATGAGCTAAAAGTCCTGGTCCACTGTTGTTTCATGAGTAGCACGTTAGTCCTCGGCAAACATATTAGCATGTAGCTAGTGCTTTGACTCTGAGCTAACCTACAAGGTCATGCACGACTCCTGGGTCAGACTGGGTTACAGTAAAGCTGAGTTTATATTTAGGGTTTCTGTGCAGTTAAGAAAGCAGTTTGAATGGATCAGGCTAAACTTCACTGAGCCCTCCTGAAGTTTCAGGGCAGTGTTGGGGAAGCTGGACTAGCTTTGCTGGCTAAGTTACATTTGGGTGCAATTGAGGAGACCATCCTGAACGATGCAGAGCATATTTTGGTTATTTGGCTGAAAGAGGAAAAAGCTATATGGCCCATTCTACGGAATTAGTTCAAACTGTGTCCCACAGTAAAAAACTATTTAAAAAAACATGAAGTATTCAGAGCTTAGATATTTACAATGATTATGTCATTTATGTTATAATCTATTTAAACCCAAGGCATTAATAGATATACTAATAAGTTAAATATAGACAAAATCATCATTTATATTGTACTTTTTATTGAGAGGTGTCTGTTAGATGTATTATTAGATTAATTTCGAAATTAAAAAAAACTTCAAAGAATTCAAAAACAAAAAATGCTGTCCTATGTTTTCATGTCAGTAATGAAGCACAAAGAGTTTAGTCAGTGGGTGGAGCCTTATTTTAGCCAAGCAGAAAGTGTGGCTGCATCCCTGTCCCTCATGGCCACAGGGTGAGCAGTTAGATCCCATTGTATCTAAACTAAATCAGTGTGGAACATTAAGAATTGTCACAACCGAAACACACATTTTCTGCAATTAAGTAAACATTTTTGTGTTTTAATTAAAATATTATTCGAAGTGTTCAAAGCTGTGTTTGCTGGTCATGTACTGGCTGCGTTTTTGAGCTCAAAATGAGCTAAAATTGTCTCTACCGAAACAGTCACTACTGAAACATTTGGAGCATTGGTTGGTGTTATGATTGTGCTGGTAGTGACAAAATGGAATGTTGAATTATTTGCTTTAATAAAATAAACATAATTAAGGTACAGAGTCACTCAAAGCAAAAGGATTTTAGTTTAAAGTTCAAGATCAGTTTAAAGTCTGAAATATCTTTTTAACCCTCACTTTGGACCAGTTCAGAAGAATCAGTCATAAATATTTCACATAAAGTTGTTTTTAAGGTACAAATTTAATCAGTGGTCATATTATCAATATCAAAATATCTGCTGTTTCCATCAGACCGGCGGTCAGCAACATGCGGCTCTTTTACTGCCCTGTTGTGGCTCCACAGCTGAATCAGATTAGTAGGTAAAAATAAAATAATCCTCCTTTACAGTAAAATAAAGCTCTGCTGATCGTTCAACACAGTTTAACAATAAATGGTCTTAAACTCTGGAGTTAATGTAGAACTGCTGATTCACCCTTTAACCCTGAAGATCAGCTCAGACTGCTGGTGCTGCTGAATGGACTTATTTGCATTTATAATCACTCCAGCTGGTTCCTGATACGTTTAATCTGCAACAAGAAACTGACAAACACTAAAAGCTTGCGAAGATGAAGTCAGTTTCTTATTCAAATTTTCCTGTTCCACCTTAAATTGTGCCGCAGTTACATTCTGGCACCTCAGACACCATTTAAGGTGGAACGGGACAGTTTGAACGAGAAACTGACTTCATCTTCGCGACTTTGAATAAAAAGCTGGCGAATAAGAAGCAACTTCAGCTTTGCAAAAAGTTGAGCACTGAGAGACATTTTACAAGAAACTGTTCTACTTTTGCGGAAAGGTTTCCTGTCAGAGATGCGAGAAAAGCAGCTATAGCTGAGCTAAAGTTTGAAGCAGAGTAAAGTAAGTCTGCGTTTTCATTTATATTATATTTTTGTAACCTATACTAGGACATTATCACATACTGAGACATATTTATATGCTAAAAAGGACATAAAGTGTTGTGGCTCCCAAGGTGGTTTGATTTTTGTGAAAGGACAAAATGGCTCGTCTTAACATTTGGGTTGTGACCCCAGCATTAGACTAATACAGTTGATGGTATACAGTTGTGACAAAGAGGTCTAGTGAGATCATGAGAATAAACTGGGTGATACTCACTGAGCGAGACGGCGTTTAGGATGATCCCGGAGACGGACATGCCGGTCAGGAAGCGGAAGGTGCAGTAGGCCAGATAGGACGGAGACAGAGCCGTGAAGCAGCCCAACACGGCCAGCTGGAAATATGACCAGATCAGCAAAGCCTTCCGTCCAAATCTTCGGAAAGAGAAACACAGAGAACCATGGAACTTCTGGAAGGAGGTACAAACATTCTAATCCAAATGATGATGATTTCTTTGAGAGCGTTGTATAACAGGGATACATCGATACTGAAACTGGTATCAGGTATTGGACCTGTTCACTCTGTGTGAAATAAGCCTGGTGTTCGTTGCCAAGCTAATGAACAAAGGACTGAAGCTGGCAGTGAAGGAGGGTCTGCTTGCACAGAGAAGTGTTGCTGATGCCGTGGTAGTCACTGTTTTGTCCTACCATGTACGTTTCGATTCTAGTTGGGTTTCTCAGTGTTTTTGCTCAGTACTCGTGTGCAGTGTGAATGAAACAGCTTTATTTGAAACTGTCTGTAGACAGAGCTGTTGCAGAGGCTGCATGTTTCAGATGCAGCATTTTCGTACAGTGCGCGTATTTTCACCGATCAGGCATAACATTATGACCATCTCCATGTTTCTATGCTCATTGTTCATTTTATTATTTGGCATTTGTTTTCTTTATGTTATTTAATTCATATATTTCACAGTCATGTATAGATTATTGTAGTAAAAATTGCAGAAAAACATGTTTTTTCTTCAAAATATGGCCTCCACACATGACTGTGAGGACAAGCGCTTCTGTGGTGCTTGGAATTCTATATGATTGATTTAAAAACCAATATTGCTAAATTGAGGCTCAAGAAGGTGTAACTGTTAAAATAAGTTATTGTTTTATTTTAAAATATAAAAAATTTGTAACCCTAACATGTTTTTCAAATGTAATATATCTGCAAACGCTAGAGACACAAAAATGGACGTTTCTGTAGAATGACCCACTCTCCACAGAATTTTTTCAGGAAAATAAAAGAAATTTTCTGATTAATGGAGCATCTTAGTATATTATAGCTAATGTTTTTTGACAGTTGACATTTTTTAATAAATGATTCACCATCATTACTAATAAATGACATTTCCATCATTACTAATGACAAATAACATAATTAGATTATACAAAGTACATAGTATAAACAAGAAACAGATTCGTTACGTGATTACGTGAAAATGATGTGATTTTCTTTGTTTTCTCTGTGAATCATTCTCATTTTTCAATATTAAAGCTGCGCGTACTCAAGGCATACTAGCCATGTTAGCCAACTTTAGCTAGCTAACTGATTATCAGCCACTGTTAGGTTTAAGTTCAGCATGTAATATTTATATTTATATATATTTATGAGAATTAGAAGCACACACTGACACAAACTGAGTAAGTTGATATTAAATGAACTTCAAGACAAAATGTAAAAGCCAAAAAAAATCTTAAAATGCTAGATAACGTTATGCTAGCTTGTTATGTACATTTGAAAAAAGCTAACTTCAGCTAATGTTTCAGATTAATCAATGCTGTATTTATAAACATGTCTAATTTACAACCCCATTTCCAAAAAAGTTGTTTTCAGTTAAACCCTATGTTTAACTGAAAATAGTATAAAGACAACATATCAAATGTTGAAACTGAGAAATTTTATTGTTTTCTGATTGTTTCTTTGAATTTGATGTCAACAACATGTTCCAAAAAAGTTGGGACGGGGGCCTGTTTACCACTGTGATTCATCACCTCTTCTTTTATCAACACTCTGTAAGCGTTTGGGAACTGAGGAGACACTGCTGTAGTTTAGAAACTGAAATGTTTTACATTCTTGTTTGATACAGGATTTCAGCTGCTCAACAGTTCGGGGGCTTATTTGTCATATTTTTCATTTCATGATGCACCAAATGTTATCAGTGGTGACAGGTCTGGACTGCAGGCAGGTCAGTTTAGCACTCTTTTAATACGGAGACTTGCTGTCGTAATACATGCAGAATGTGGTTTGGCCTCGTCTTGCTGAGATAATCAAGGCCTGCCCTGAAAAAGATGTCGTCTGGATGGCAGCATATGTTGCCAAAACATGTATATATCATTCAGCATTAATGGTGCCTTCACAGATGTGCACGTCACCCATGCCATGTGCACTAATGCCCCCTTATACCAGCATGAATACTGGCTTTTGGAACTATGCACCGATAACAAGCTGAGTGGTCTTTAGCCTGGAGGACACAGTGTCCATGATTTCCAAAAAGAATTTCAAATGTTGATTCATCTGACCACAGGACACTTTTCCACTTCTCCTCCGTCCATTTTAAATGAGCTCAGGCCCAGAGAAGGTGGCAGCATTTCTGGATCCTGTTTATGTACAGTTTCTTCTTTGTGTTTTAGAGTTTTAATTTACATTTGTGGATGCAGCAACAAACTGTTTTCACAGACAGTGGTTTTCAGAAGTGTTTCTGAGCCCATGCAGTGATTTCCACTACAGAATCATGTCTGGTTTTAATGCAGTGCTGTCTGAGAGCCCAAAGATCACGGCCAGCAAATATTGGTTTTTGGCCTTGTTCCTTACATACAGAGATTTCTCCAGATTCTCTGAATCTTTTAATGTTATTATGTACCATAGATGATGAAAAGCAAAAGCTCTTTGCTGTTTTATGTTGAGAAACGTTATTCTTGAATTGCTGCACTATTTGCCCACACAGTCTTTCACAGAGTGGTGAACCCCTCCTCATCTTTGCTTCTGAAAGACTCCGCCTCTCTGAGATGCTCTTTTATACCCAATCATGTTACTCACCTGTTGCCAATCAACCACCAGGTGTTTTTTACCAGTTGCCCATCCCAACGTTTTTGGAACATGTTGTTGGCATCAAATTCAAAATGGGCAAATATTTTTCAAAAAAACAATACAATTTCTCAATTTCAACATTTGATATGTTGTCTTTGAAGAATTTTCAATGAAATATAGGGTTTAAATGATTTGCACATAATTGCATTTTGTTTTTATTTACATCACAACATCCCAACTTTTTTGGAAATGAGGTTGTAATATTGTACCAAACATTGTTATATACCTTACCCTATTAACATTTTAATTGATCAGAGTTAGCTAAGTACCCTCACTATGGTGTTTTCTCTTTTTCTCAATAGAATTACAGTGAATAAAATACAGTAGAATGCTGAAACAGGCCTTTTACAGTAGAATATCCCATTAAAATACAGATATGTTTATTAAACTATGGATATGTTTATTGTGTACGCTAACAAATTACTTGCAGGTGATTTTCCAGCTTCATGGGAAAGTAACAGCCAAGAAATCCCAAAATGCCCACCAATTTTTGAGTGGTACATCCTTCAAACACTGAGACATTCACAGACACATGCTGCCTTTCAGCCGTCCAGACTGAGATTGGCTTTTATAGCAGATGGAAGTATTAACTGTGGATCAGAATAAAGCCCAGCAGATCTAAAGCAGCTGCTATTCAGAAAATGTTAATCCATTCTGCACTGGTTAATCAGCACAAATAAAGAGAGAACCTGATCAAATTAAGAGAACCTGATAATAATGGTACGTATACAGTAAATAGAGGGATCCATGTTTGATTTAAAGACTTCTGTTTCTCCTCTTTCACCAAATAAACAATAATTCAAACTAATATCTCTGAATAATTCATATATGCAGGAATGGATGCAACTTATAGTAAAATATCTGAAAACATGCTGAACGTTTACAGTGTTCAGTAAAGAAAATGGTTCTATAAAGAACCACGAACACTCATGATTAAAGGGTTCCTCAGATTGATTGAGAATGTGCTGTAGACGGTTCTATATAGAACCTTTTTGAAAATGGTTCTATACAGAACCCAAAAAAGCTTTCCTACAGTTACGATGTCACTAGTACAGAAAATGGTTCTATATAGAACCATGAACATTAAAATAACCTTTTACATGATTAAAGGGTTCTTTGCGTCGTGAAATGGTTCTTCAGATTGAAGGAGAATGTGTTGTATATGGTTCTATACAGAACATTAGGACTGGCTTCAAAAAGGTTCTACACAGCACCAAAAAGTGTTCCTCTACTGTTACGATATCAAGCTTGTTACAATAGAAGAACCCTTTTTGGCCCTTTTCAAAAAGGTTCTGTTTAGAACCATCTAGAGCACATTCTGCACCATTCTGAAGAGCCCTTTCATGATGCAAAGAACCCTTTAATCATGCAAAGAGTTCTTTGAGTGCTCACGGTTCTATATATAACCACTTTCTTCACTAAAGAACCCTTGAAGAACCATATTTTTAAGAGTGTACTCTGTGATAGAACGTAGTGTAACTAGAGCTCTAAAAGAATTCTGTTGTTTATTTTTCCAGATTTTCAATGTGGTCTCAGACTTTTGGACAAACTTTACACTCTTAAAATAAGATGGTTCCTTAAGGGTTCTTTAAAGACCATGGTCCTATGTAGAACCGTGAAAACACTCAAAGAACCAATTTGCCTGCTAAAATGGTTCAATGCCTGGTGAAATGGTTCTTCAGAGTGAACCCGAAAAAGGGTTCTTCTATTGTTACAAGTTTGACATTGTCACAATAGAAGAACCCTTTCTGGTGCTATATAGAACCCTTTTTCAAAAAGATTCTATATAGAACCATATACAACACATGCTCCATCAATCTGAAGAACCATTTTATGTTGAAAAGAACCATTTAATCATGGATTCTTTGAATGTTCATGGTTCTACATAGAAACATTTTCTTTACTATAGAACCCCTGTAGAACCATCATTTTTAAGAGTGTAGCTACACTCCTTCATGTGACGTGCGGGATATGTTAAGGTACTCCTGTTTCGTAGTAATGTTGGCAGTAAAACAGTATACAGTACCCTCACTGGGTTATTGCTGTATAGAACCATATACAACACATTCTCCATCAATCTGAAGAACCATTTCATGACGCAAAGAACCCTTTAAGCATGCAATGGTTCTTTGAGTGTTCATAAAAAGGGAAACATTAGAGAACTTCTATGAGATCATATTTGACCTGCAGCTCGTTTGGTCAGATCAGAAGAGAGTGACCGCCAGTGGTGGACAGTAGCGAAGTAAATGTAATTCATTACTGTACTTTTTTCATGGTTTTTCCTGTATCTGTACTTTACTGAGGTTTTTCCATTTTGGGCGACTTTTTACTTTCACTCCACTACATTTCAAAGTCAAATATCTCACTTTTTACTCCGCTACATTATGAGAAATCTGTCGGTCCTTTTGGTTTCTGTGTGTATAAAAACGGAACATGTCAAAATGAAAGAAGCACAAAGCAACAACACCAATCAGGGCACAGCGGTCACTTTGTTTTGAGCTTGTTTTGACCTGTTGGTCATACCGACCCAGTGCAGCACACGGTTCAACATCAGTGCAGCAGTGTAAAATTTTGGGAGAGTCTATTCAACATAAATGATGAACTAACCTAACTTTGTGTAAATAGACCACAGTATAGAAATATGTACACATATGCAGTTGTGACGTTTCTTTTTTCTGAATTTATACAAACACATTTCATTTTATAGTAAATTTGTTTTTGCTAGTTTATGTTTATGAACAGAGACCTACAGATGCAGTTTAGTAAAGGAAACTCATTTGTGAATCTGAGTTTAAAGTTTTTATTAAACTTAAACTTGTAACTAAGTTCAAATAAATCTTAAACTTTGCTTGTTTGTAAAAAGTGATTTCAGAGCCACTCAGTTCTACCTGATGGAAACTGTTTGCCTTCAGTGTTTTGTGCTTATGATAATTTTAATAGACATCAGCGTCACTAATTAATGACTCTATTAAAAGACTGGTTTACCAAGAGTGACACTGGAGTATTTTCATTCAATTGACTAATTAGAGCCATAATTAATCTTTTAGTACTTTTACTTTCGATACTTAAGTCCATTTGAAGGCAAATACTTTAGTACTTTTACTCAAGTGGAGGTCTAAAGGGAGGAACTTCTACTTTTACTGGAGTGATATTTTACCTTGGGTATCTCTACTTTAACTCAAGTACATGGTTTGTGTACTTCGTCCACAACTGGTGACCACAGGACTACATCAGCCTCCAAACACATTAGATAACCTGTTGTTAATCCTAAGAGAGCTTTTTGGTCGGCAACTGAACAACTAAATAAACCAGAATCAGCCAGAAACCAACAGAAACCAATTCAGCAAACAAGATGAGCTGTGAAACGCTTTACAGACTGACTGGAACTAAACCACTTTCAGCTTCATCTGGAAGACACTGACAAAGCTGAGCTGAACCTGATATTCACACTGTTTTATGGCTCTGTGTCACAAAACAGAGACTCAAAGACTCTAACTTGTCCCTACAGAATGGAAACAAAATGTAAATGTAAATCCTTGGAGAGTTTCTTTGCTCACCTGTCTGAAAGCCCTCCAAATATAATGGCGCCCGTCAGCACTCCGCCCATGTAGATGGTTTGGCTCATCTGCTTCAGCGGCCGTAGTTTACACACCAAATCCCACTGATGGAGAGAAACAATATCAACACCAGCTTCAGTGTGCACTCTGTTACTCCAAATCTAGTCAGTGTCAGAAGTTGCTTCTTTAGAGCTACTTGTAGGCTAATGTAGCTAACAAGTAATGGAAGCTTATACTGATCAGGCGTAACATTCTGACCACCCCCTTGTTTCTACACTCATTGTCCATTTTACCAGCTCCACTTACTATATAGGTGCACTTTGTAGTTCTACAGTTATAGACTGTAGTCCATCTGTTTCTCTGATACTTTGTTAGCCCCCTTTTACCCTGTTCTTCAGTGGTCAGGACCCCCATGGACCCTCACAGAGCAGGTACTATTTGGGTGGTGGATCATTCTCAGCACTGCAGTAACACTGACGTGGTGGTGGTGTGTTAGTGTGTGTTGTGCTGGTCTGAGTGGATCAGACACAGCAGTGCTGCTGGAGTTTTTAAACACCTCAGTGTCACTGCTGGACTGAGAATAGTCCACCAACCAAAAATATCCAGCCAACAGCGTCCTGTGGGCAGCGTCCTGTGACCACTGATGAAGGACTAGAGGATGACCAACACAAACTGTGCAGCAGCAGATGAGCTATCGCCTCTGACTTTACATCTACAAGGTGGACTGACAAGGTAGGAGTGTCTAATAGAGTGGACAGTGAGTGGACACAGTGTTTAAAAACTCCAGCAGCACTGCTGTGTCTGATCCGCTCGTACCAGTGCAACACACACTAACACACCACCACCACGTCAGTGTTACTGCAGTGCTGAGAATGACCCACCACCCAAATAGTACCTGCTCTGTGAGGGTCCATGGGGGTCCTGACCACTGAAGAACAGGGTAAAAGGGGGCTAACAAAGTATCAGAGAAACAGATGGACTACAGTCTATAACTGTAGAACTACAAAGTGCACCTATATAGTAAGTGGAGCTGATAAAATGGACAATGAGTGTAGAAACAAGGAGGTGGTCATAATGTTATACCTGACCGGTGTATACCCCACCAATTAGCATTATGCCTAAATCATTACACATTTACCTTCAACGTGTTAGTGATGTTGGCTTCCTAGTGGAATTTTCCATTCCACCTTGAATGGTACAGTTAAGTTACTGGAGCTGTGGAGCCTCAGAGATTACAGAGACTGAAAGTAACTTTCTCCCTTTCTAGATAATAAAATCACAGCTATATTTCTTTTATTTCAGTTTATTTCTAACATTCAGCTGGTCTAAGCTGGTTTATACTGGTCAAGTGCTGATTTAGCAGGTCGCCCAGAATGGTCATGCTGGTTGACCAGCAAACCAGCATTCAAAACCACCATATCGCTGCTGTCAGAACAAAACCTTGAATCTCCAAAATGTAACTTTACAGGACAAGAAAAAATGTTCTTCATTTTTAATGGAAGTAAATGGAGAAATATTTTTTCCGAGTAATTTTGTACAATTTCTGCTGCTCCGTTCATCAGGAAATTTTGAGACAACATAAAGGGCAACTGCCTTTTTAAAATTATCACAAAAATGAAAAACAGCAAAAATGGCAATATGAGGTTTCGACCCATCAGCGATGATATGCTGGTTTTGCTGGTGACCAGACATGCTCGTCCACATTACCTACTTAGCTTAGCTACCTCATCTATTTTGATTTTTTATAACTGTTACAGGGTAAAGAAAACATCTCATCTTTAGCTGGTTAGCTAACTAACCTTTACTTCTGTGTTCCTTTAATATTTTCTTTTTGTTTTCTCTTTTTAGAACTAAGCTAACGTTCAGTGTAAGCTAATATTTAGCTAGCCTAGCCAAAAAAACGAAAACCCTTGGAGCTTTTTGAGCATTAGAGCTTCTAGAGCTTCTGTCTGTGAGGAGCAGAGCATTCTTTACTGCATTCAAGTGAGTTATGACTACAGTAGCATTAGCATCACCATAGCATAACAGGAAAAAGGGTGAAAGTAAGCTAACAGCTAAATGCTAACAGCTAGCAGTGAGCTGTCAGTCTCTTGGTTGTGAGGTGTAAAGAAAATAGCTGACGCTGTCAAAAGCTGATGAGAGATTCTCAGAGTGTCAGCTTCTCACCTGCAAATATTAAAAGATGATGCTGAAAAAATTAGACCCCTTACAGACATTAACCTCTCAGCTCCTGCTGAAAAACAGCACAGACCAGTGTGAAGTCCATTCTGTTCTGTGCTGGTTTAGCTGGTTGAAAAGCATACAAGCATCCAAAACAACATATTCTCTCCATCAGAACAAAATTTCATATCCCCAAAGTGCTTTAAAGGAGAAGTAAAAAACATTAAATGAAAGTTACTGGAATTAGATTTTAGATTAGAAGTATTTTTGGAGCTTTTCTATTGGTCCATTGATCATCTTATCAAGTAAAATGATCTTAAATATAGTCAATAAATCTAATATTTCTCCTGTTGAGACTGTTGTAAGCTTAATTGAAGATTATTTACCTGATTCCTAGATTCTCTACTTGCTTTAAGTCATTTTATTAAGTAAAATTATCTCACTATATTGGTAGATAATTGTGCTTGTTGTAAGAAATGAGCTTGAAACCAGCCAAATTATCTGCAGTAAATGTACAGGAAGATGGAACACCTGCTGGGCATTGCTGCAAGTCGCACCTCCTCCGGTGCCCACGGGTCAGCTGCAGGGTCATCAGCCAGGAACCACCATTCATTAACGTTTCACTCCCTTAATCCTGGAACGTGTCCTGGTGGCGGAGCAGTGACAGGGACGTCTCCCTGTCACCCCCTGCAGCTGATAGGTGTTACCCTCCGCGGCCGTTGGCTGGGTTAGTTGTTCTTTCCCCAGCACTTGTCTCTCCTTCTCAGCCAGAGCCAAAAGCTCTCCCCCTCAGCCACCTCCACTAGCTCTTTGGTTGCCTTCTTTAGGTTCCCTCCAGTCACTCCTGCATCCCTCAAAAGGCGTATGGTTGACAGCTCCACACAGCCTCGGCATCCAACCTCCACTGGATAGATGGTAGTCTTCCAGCCAGCCTCCCGGCACTCAGCAGCCAGTTCTGAGTACTTGGCCTTCTTGCGTTCATAGGCAGCCTCCATCCCAGGTATTGTGAGCTCAATGAGGAGCACGGATTTTGCCTTGATGGACCGTACCACTATGTCAGGGCGGAGAGATGTGGCAGTGATCTCGACCGGGAAACGGAGCTGCCCGTCGAGGTCGACTTTCACGTTCCACTCCTGATCAGGGGAAAACGGCCTAGACGCCAGTATAGTGAGATCGTTTTACTTTACTTTAGTTACCTAAAACAAAAAAAAAATATCTAGAAATGAGCTAGGTAATCTTATAATAAGAGCACAACCATCTCAAAATGGGAAATATTGGATAGATTAACTAGATTTAAGATCATTTCACTTGACAAGATACCATTTTTTGCAGTGGTGAAATTTTAGCATGCTGTAAAGGGCAGCTGGCTTTTTCAAATTCGGTAAAAAAGTACAAAACAGCAAGAATGGAGATGCGAGGTTTTGTTCCGACAGCAGTGATACACTGCTTTTGCTGCTGACCAGCATAACAGCATCAAAACACAACACATCGCTGCTGTCAGAACAAAACCTCGTGTCTCCATTTTTGTCATTTTCTATTTTTTGACATAATTTGAATACGCCTGTTGGCCTTTACATTGGCCATACATATTTTATGATGAATGGACCAAAAGAAACAACGTAGAATTACTTGAAAAAAAATCTGGTTCCATTGACTTACATTCAAAGTAAAGTAGGTTTTTTCCTTCTCCTGTAAAGTTACTATTTTGGAGATACGAGGTTTTGTTCCGTCAACAGCGATATGATGGTTTCGCTGGTCACCAGCCATGCTGGACTCAACGTTTGCATCTAGCACCTCAAATGGCCAGTGAGGGTACTGTATACTGTTTTACCACTAACATTACTACGAAACAGGAGTACCTTAACATATCACATACACGACACATGAAGGAGTGTGGCTACACTGCTAAAAATGATGGCTCTTTAAGGGTTCTTTAGTAAAGATAGCGGTTCTATGTAGTACCATGAACACTCAAAGAAGCTTTTGGAAGATTACAGCGGGTTCTTCAGATTGATGGCGAATGTGCTGTTCTACACAGAGCCTTATTGAAAAGAGTTCTATATAGCACCCAAAAGGGTTCTTCTATTGTTACGATGTCAAGCTTGTAACAATAGAAGAACCCTCTTGGGTGCTATATAGAACCCTTTTCAAAAAGGTTCTATATAGAACCATCACATTTTTCCATCAGTCTGAAGAATGCTTTCATGATGCAAAGAACCCTGTAATCCTGCTAAAGGTTTGAGTGCTCATGGTCCTATATAGAACCATTTTCTTTGCTAAAGAACCCATAAGGAACCATCTTTTTTAGGAGTGTAGGCTAACCGTGATAGACGAAGTTAGAGAAGTGGACAACTGCCTCGTTCTATATAGCAACAAAACGGGTTCTGCTACTGTTTTGATGTCAAGCTTGTAACAACAAAAGAACCCTTTTTGGTGCTATATAGCACCCTTTTCAAAAGGGTTCTTCAGATAGATGGGGAATGTGCTGTAGCTGGTTCTAAATAGAATCTTTCTGAAAAGGGTTCTGCTAGTGTTTTGATGTCAAGTTTGTAACAACAGAAGAACGCTTTTTGGTTCTATATAGAACTCTTTTCTAAAAGGTTCTATATAGAACCGTCTTCAGCACATTCTCTATCATTCTGAAGAACTGTTTCATGATGCAAAGAACCCTTTAATCATGCAAAGGATTCTTTGAGAGTTCATGATTCTATATAGAACCATTTTCTTTGCTAAAGAACCCTTGAAGAACCATCTTTTTAAGTGAGTACTCTTGGAGAAAGAGATAAATTTTATTTTATTTATCTCTATTTTATTTTTTTATTATTATTATTTGTTTTTTTTACAGAACTATGACTTTAAAGGAGAATTTTCTTTGTTTTATCAGGACAGCTGTCTCAGTGGGGATGTGCACTTTGAGCACAGGAGGCTGATTATCTAGGTTGGAGGTCCACGGTGGGCAGAACACAGGGCTCCGGTTACAGTATTCTAGATCACTGTTCTGAACTGCAGCACCAAACTACATGTACTCCTCTCTCCTTTATTCTCCAAACTTTTTTTAATCCTTCTTTACTCTAAGACTGTGAAGTTACAGCCACCAGTCGTGGCATAAAGATGCAGCATTAGCAGCCAACTGTCTTCTTCAGAGTAGCCCCTGTATTCCCTAAGGCAGCGGTACACAGTCTCAGCGTTCTCCCAGTCAGCTCCATGAGGAACCACCTGAGATACTTCTCCAAGATCATACACATCAGAGCACGTGAGAAAGGTCCACCACCCAAGCAACATCTGGTCAGTAGTGGTCATGTTAAGTTGATGACTATGTACGAATTTATTTACAAAATCAATGGAAAGAGAATAACATACACTGCAAAGAATGGTATATTGTCAAGTGAAATGATCTTAAATCTAGGTAATGTATTAATATTTAAATGCTGAAATTGTTGTAAGATTATTGTACGATTGTTTAACTTATTTCTAGATGTTTTTGGCTGGTTAAGTGATTTCAGTAAGTCAGAATATCTCACTGTATTAGCAGATAATGTTTCTTAAAACATGCAAAATTAAATATAAATAATCTTTGGAAGAAGTTCAATAATCTTTTAATAAGCTGACAGCAATCTCGAAAGGATAAACATTAGACCTACTGACTAGATTTAAGATCATTTAATATGCCAATATACCATTTTTACACTGTATGCTGTTCTCTTTCCATTGTTTTTGTAAATAAATTCATACATAGTCGTCAACTTTACTACTCAACTTAACACATTCTATGCATTCAAACATTTAAGATCAAAAAGTCTTTAAGATTATAGAAACACATTTAGTCTGGAGGGTCCAAACTTTTCTAATTCAAATTTTGAGGCCTACACTCTTAAAAACATGGTTCTTCAGAACCATGAACATTCAAGGAACCCTTTGCCTGATGAAAGATTTCTTTGCATGGTGAAATGGTTCTATTGGTGCTATGTAGAACCCTTTTCAAAAAGGTTCTATATAGAACCATCTACTGCACATTCTCCATCAGTCTGAAGAACCATTTCTCACAGCAGAGAACACTTTAATCATGCAAAGGGTTCAATGAATGTTCATGGTTCTATATAGAACTATTTTTATCACTAAAGAACCCTTGAAGAACCACTTTTTTAAGTATGTAGAACATTCTGTGCTGTACAGACTGAACTCAGATTACACAGCAAAAAGTAAAGTACACTGTGTGTCCGAAAGTATCCAGACGGCTCTTCTAATGAGTGACTTCAGCTACTTCAAGGTGACTCATTGCTGATACCGGCGTTTATTTAGCTTGTATTGTCTCTATAGTGAAGCACTGACCAATAGAACGGGACTTCCTGTTACTCAAGGAAAGAGTAACAGGAAGAGAATTAACAAACAAGGTAATTACCTTATTAATTACTTAACACAGTTATACAACCCCATTTCCCCAAAAAGTTGGGACGCTGTGCAAAATGTAAATAAAAACAAATGCAATGATGTGCAAATCATTTAAACACTATATTTCATTGAAAATAGTCCAAAGACAACATATCAAATGTTGAAACTGAAAAATGTTATTGTTTTTTGAAAAATATTTGCCCATTTAGAATTTGATGCCAACAACATGTTTCCAAAAAGTTGGGACGGGGGCAACAAAAGGCTGGTAAAGTTGTGTAATGCTAAAAAAAACACCTGGTGGTTGATTGACAACAGGTCAGTAACATGACTGGTTATAAAAGAGCATCTCAAAGAGGCTGAGTCTTTCAGAAGTAAAGATGAGGAGGAGTTCACCACTCTGTGAAAGACTGCACCATCAAATGGTGCAACAATTCAAGAATAATGTTTCTCAACATAAAATAGCAAAGAACTTTTGCTTTTCATCATCTACGGTACATAATAACATTATAAGATTCAGAGAATCTGGAGAAATCTCTGTATGTAAGGGACGAGGCCAAAAACCAGAAGTTGCTGGTCGTGATATTTGGGCCCTCAGACAGCACTGCATTAAAAACAGACATGATTCTGTAGTGGAAATCACTGCATGGGCTCAGAAACACTTCTGAAATCACTGTCTGTGAAAACAGCTTGTTACTGCATCCACAAATGTAAGTTAAAACTCTAAAACTTAAAGAAGAAACCAAATATAAACAGGATCCAGAACTGCTGCCACCTTCTCTGGGCCTGAGCTCATTTAAAATGGACTGAGGGGAAGTGGAAAAGTGTCCTGTGTTCGGACGAATCAACATTTGAAATTCTTTTTGGAAACCATGGACACTGTGTCCTCCGGGCTAAAGACCACTCAGCTTGTTATCGGTGTACAGTTCAAAAGCCAGTGTTCATGATGGTAAAGGGGGGCATTAGTGCACATGGTATGGGTGACGTGCACATCTGTGAAGGCACCATTAATGCTGAATAATATATACATTTTTTGTTAACATATGCTGCCATGCAGACGACGTCTTTTACAGGGAAGGCCTTGATTATTTCAGCAAGACAATGTAAAACCACATTCTGCATGTATTAAAACAGCATTGCTATGTATTAAAAGAGTCCGGGTGCTAAACTGGCCTGCCTGCAGTCCAGACCTGTCACCACTGATAACATATCATTGCATCCTATTTTTATTTACATTCTACACAGCGTCCCAACTCTTTGGGAAATGGGGTTGTATACACACACACATATATATATATATATATATATATATATACACGTATACTAAGATAAAAAATTAACTCTATCCTTCACATAAACTCTATTAAAAAAAACAATATAAACATTATAAATAGAAAAGCAAAAATCTGTGAACATTTTTAGTAGTGACAAAATGGAATGTTTAATAATGTGTTTTAATAAAATAAACATAGTGAAGGTATAGAGTTACTCAAAGCAAAGGGATTTTTTTCCTTTCAGACTTCAGAAACACCAGCTTACAGAAATGCTCTGAAATTACTTTGGAAAAAATCTTATTCCATGAATTTTCATTTAGCGTAGAGCACTTTTAACCTCCTCCTGTAAAGTTACCATTTAGGAAATGGAAGGTTTTGTGTGCGACTTCTGTATCATCACTGAACAAAAAACCTAAATGTGTCTCGTTACTTTGGGTCAGTTTTATATACTTCCTTATCGCTGTTGTCAGGACAAAACCTCGTATCCTCCAAATGGTAACTTTACAGGAGAAGGAAAAAACATACTTTATTTTTAATGTAAGTCGACGGAACCAGAATTTTTTCAGTCATTTTGGGCCGTTTGTCATGAAGGCATTTTCATATTATGTCAAAAACTGAAAAATGACAAAAATGGAGATACAAGGTTTTGTTCTACAGCATCGATATGTTGCTAAGAGAAATTCCTCATACAGCTGTACTGGGGAATATGTAATGTAGTGTAGCATCAGTCTGACTTTGTCAAGAGCATGAATGTTTCTACATTTGAGACGAATATAAATCAAATCAAAGCCAAACTGTCTCACCTCAGACACTATAGTGGAGACAAACTCATTTTTCTCATAGCTCCAGCCGTCCAGGCAGGTCTCAGTCTCATTACTGCTGACTTCATAGTGGCTAGAGTTTTCGCTGAGGAGATGCCACTGAGCCTGGGCGTATCTGCTGCATTTGGACAGTTTCGAGTCCTCCAGAGGGATGAAGGCTCTCAGCAGATCAGCTCTGCTCAGCTCAGAGAGGTTCCGAGCCTCAGCCAGAGACGTGATGTTTGGTATTTTGCAGAAATGTCCAGGAATGCCTGCAGTGAAGTTGTTAAGCAAGTTCTGGCTGGCCATCAGAAGGCCCGGAATGGACAGCAGAGTGACATGGATTAACTGGAACCGTCCAAATCCTCCGATCTCATTCAGAAGATCAGCAAACCCCATCTCAGATTCTCCTGCAGCTCAGTTCTACAGAGATTCCTTTCCTCCGGTGCTTCGGTGGTGTGGAAGAAGATCAGCCCCTTTCAGAGCTCCTCACTCTGTCACAACAGCGGTCAAATACAAATAAACCAGCCAGACCCCTGCAATCATTAATTTGGGGGTTAATAGTTGTCAAATGGCCGGTCACATTCCGCTCCCCACGAGAGAAACATCTGCTACATCTTTCAAAAAAAAAAAAAGTGAGTCTGCAAGTGGCCGGAGTGTCCAGTTAGGGTCAGAAACAGACTTATCTAAAGAAACTTGCAGAAAGAAACTTACAGAATGTTCAGAGGTGTAAATCGGAGCAGGACGCATTGTCCACCAACGTCCAGGCTGTAACTGTTCTCCATGTTTCACTCGCAGGCTGGTTTAAGTCTAAAATCCCTCGCAGTGGAATTTGAGTAAAGAGCTTGTGCAGAACAAACTCAGTGACACTCTAATCCAGAAAAAACAAAAACAAACAAAAAAAAAAAGGGCAGCAGCCTGGACAGAGCAAACAGTGCAGCAATATGTAAAAGGTTCCACCTAATAAAACAAAAGAACAACAATAATATTGTTATATATATATATATATATATATATATATATATATATATATATATATATATATTAAACAAAAGTCCCAAGAATCTTCTTTTTCCTGCTCAGTTAAGAAGTGGTGCAGGTTAATATGGTTGCAAAATGGGAGTTGCTTAGGGTTTGGAAACAGTACTGACCTAATAATAATAATAATAATAATAATAATATTTATAATAATAATGATAATAATAATACCTCTACCATAAGCTCTAGACCCAAGTTAGAATACTGACTACAAGCCAACCTGCTAGTCATGATACAGTACAACATACTCTGAATCAATTCAACATGATATGCTGTGATAATATTCCATACGATATGATACAGTGCAATACCGAATGATACACTGTGATACAATTCAATATAATGTAATATTCTAGCGACCTGCTCCTGGCTGGCACTGGCCTCTGGACACGCGTGAGGCCAGGAGGCTCATGGGAGGCGTGCACTCTTCACAAAAGGTATTAAATGTTGTCTACGTTGTTGTTTGTCAGATAAAGGTATGTGGTCTGTGTTTGTTGTGTTGTTCTGTGTTGTGTAGTGGGTTTGGTTAGTGTGGGTTGGTGGTCACAGTGAAGGTGAAGTGTATGGCTAGTGGGGACCTCCACTGTGAGGTCAGGGCTTTTTAAGCGCCTTTCTGCCCTGGTGTTTAATGAAGATTCTTGTGGTAGAATCATGATGTACCCTGTGTCTTACTGTATGATGATGCTACTATATGATACACTGTGATACAACTCAGTGATGTGATACAGTGCAATGCACTGCGATACAGTATGATACAATATGATATGTTGTGAAACAATTTGACACAATACAATATGTTGTGATATATTTCAGTACAATTTGATTCAATGTGATATGTTGTGATACAATTTGATATAATACGATACGTTGTGCTACAATTTGATACATTGTGACACAATACAATGCAATTTGATATATGATACGTTGTGACACAATTTGATGCAATTTGATACAATATGATATGTTGTGATATAATTTGATACAATTTGATACAATACAATATGTCGTGACACAATATGATACAATTTGATACAATATGATATGTCGTGACACAATATGATACAATTTGATACAATATGATATGTCGTGACACAATTTGATACAATTTGATACAATATGATATGCCGTGGCACAATTTGATACAATTTGATATGTTGTGACACAATATGATACAATTTGATACAATATGATATGTCGTGGCACAATATGATACAATATGATATGTTGTGACACAATATGATACAATTTGATACAATATGATATGTCGTGACACAATTTGATACAATTTGATACAATATGATATGCCGTGGCACAATTTGATACAATTTGATACAATATGATATGTCGTGGCACAATTTGATACAATATGATATGTTGTGACACAATATGATACAATTTGATACAATATGATATGTCGTGACACAATATGATACAATTTGATACAATATGATATGCCATGGCACAATTTGATACAATTTGATACAATATGATATGTCGTGGCACAATTTGATACAATATGATATGTTGTGACACAATATGATACAATTTGATACAATATGATATGTCGTGACACAATATGATACAATTTGATACAATATGATATGTCGTGACACAATTTGATACAATTTGATACAATATGATATGTCGTGACACAATTTGATACAATATGATATGTTGTGATACAGTATGAAACCGGGCGGGGCATTTCTAGTCTTTGTAAACTCACTGTTGAAGCGCCTGTTCAATAAAAATGATTTGCCCATAGGTGCAATGTTTTCCGCATCTTCTGCACTGACGATTCAGTGTGATGCGCTGTGATACAATTCGAATCAATGCTGCGTTACACTTCTGTGCAATATATGTTAATCATGCTGATTTCTCCAATATTCAAGAAAAAAAATCTGCTCTCCAACACTGAATGAATCAGTGAATCACTAACTGGGTGAAGAATGATTCACTTCAGAAAACACAGACTTTAACATCAGGATCCAAAGATTATGTGCTATTATCAGCTCCTTGAACCCAAAGCCCATTTTGCAGGCAACGTGCATAGCAGTCTTCTAGCCTTCATAACCTCAGTACAGTTTAAGATACAGACATGATACAGACATCCCAACCCTCCGCAGACCCGGCTCTCACTAGCCAGCGTGACATCACTGAGCCGTGACATCAGCATCGGTTAGTAATTCGGCTCAAAAAAACAAAAAACTTCTGCTTTTAGCCTTCATATTCCAACAAAGAGTTAAATGATTCACACATCGAAATAGTGTTAGACATAGCGTATTGTATACCGTTTCAGTATATACTCAACAGTGCATACTGCCCCTTATCATCTAGTGTACTGTACAGTATTCAGTATGCAACACAAGCTGTGTGCTGTACTACAGGACTAGCCTGCCAACTTCAGGCCCTGAGCCAATCAGACTATCACGACACTTGCCCCATTTCCCTCAGCCATCCTGTCACTGCTTAGCAACCGTTGCTAGCCGCTTTTCAGAGTGCACGTTTATTCTGGTCAAGAGAAGGGCCTGTGTGACCATTAAAATACACCCCATACAGTGACAGAGGGCAGGACGGTGTCTCCAAACTACAAATAAACTGTCTGCTGTGGGTTCAACTTGTGTGGTTTCCAAACACCATTTGAGAGTCACTTCATTTTTATTATGCTTGTAGTTGGTAATATGAGCTAGTTTGACTGAGTAGTAAGCAGTGTGACTCCACATGGGGGGCTGAGCTGACCATTGAGCTGAGTTACTGTTTTATCCACTTTATGCAGAAACTTTTAAATAGACAAAGCCAGCAAATCCACCTGGAGACCAGCAGAGAACGCTGGTGAGGCTTCACTGCACTGAGTGCAGCAGCATTTGGTCAACTTTCTTTCAGTTTGCTTTTTTTATTGCACAGAAGAATGTCTGTATTCAGAGCTATTAACAATATCCAGGTGATTACGTCAGTGGTCATGTCCTCCCGCAGTGGCAGCATTGCGTTTTGGGATGCAGTATATCACAGAGAGAGCTCTAGCAGTTTACTGGAATATTTTGCCGGAGCAGTACGTCATTAGGGTATCTTTGGCGTACCAGGGGAACTCATGTTGGTCACACACTGCATACTACTGGCTACTTTTGGGCCAAATCAGTACGTGAGTAGTATGCAGTAAGATATTTTGAACACAGCCTCTGTGTCCAGAGTGATTTTATGCAGCTGCAACAAAGATTCAGTCAGTAATCCAGCTCAGAAAGAACACCATTCAAATCCTGCATTTATTTCTATTTAAATGCCTCACTGCATGTGTTTGGTCCTCTTCTCATGTCTCAAACCATCATCTGTGTACAGACACCTGTCCACCAGTTTTTTCCTTTAGTTGAGTGACACATTGTCGCCTGGACTCTACTTAACGCGACAGAGGTTGTGTTCCAATCCACAAGAATTAGTGCACCTCAATTTTTCACTCAAAATCAACAATGCAGGCACTAAAACATATTTCAACAGATAAGTAACAATAAATAAGACAAACATTATGTAAAAGTAATAATATTTAGCTCTGTCCTTCAATTTACATTGATTTTGAGTATTTAAAGTAAACATGCAACTCAATTTGATATTAAAAACAATGTCTGTCTTGCTGTGTATCAGAGTTTTAGCACTCTGTATGATTCCAAGAAGACAGAAAATAAATAAACAATTGGCTGCCTTACGCTAATCATTTATTTTTACTCAGAAATAAGCAATAGAATGAACCACCGTCATAATTCAGCTATTTTCAGCTCACAGACACTCTAGACAAAAATTCTAGGGTATTTGAGGTGACCTTGTTTTCAGTGGTGGACAGTAACGAAGTAAATGTAGTTCGTTACTGTACTAAAGTAGTTTATCTGTACTTTACTGAAGTTTTTCCATTTTGGGGGACTTTTTACTTTCACTCCACTACATTTCAAAGTCAGATATCTCACTTTTTACTCCACTACATTATGAGAAATCTGTCGTTCCTTTTGGCTTATGTGTGTATAAAAACGTAACATGTCAAAACGAAAGAAAGTGGGACAGATTATTTTACATATCGTGCACTAAAAAGAGAAAACTGACAATAAATGTTATTGAAATATGACTGATTTGTACTTTATTTGATTTGATATTCAGTTGTTGACTGTATAAGATGCTGATATACCTACCAGGCTACTTCAGTGAACAGTATATGGCACTGAATCATGATGCAAGTTAGACATTATGATGTTCTGGACCTTTGCTTGAAGAAACTTTCTTTAACTGGACCTTATTGAACTTTAATTAAAAATCCCTGCACTGGAGTATTTTCACCTAAAATGAGTTAATGAAGCAGAGTCTTGTTATAAAAATGAAAATAGAAAATTAGAGCCATAATTAATCTTTTAGTACTTTCACTTTCGATACTTAAGTACATTTGAAGGCAAATACTTTTGTACTTTTACTCAAGTGGAGGTCTAAAGGGAGGAACTTCTACTTTTACTGGAGTAATATTTTACCTTGGGTGTCTCTACTTTAACTCAAGTACATGGTTTGTGCACTTCGTCCACCACTGCTTGTTTTCCAGCGGCCGTATTACAGAAACCTCTTAGTCATCATGACCAGTTCAGCTGGGACTGAATTGAGGACAGTATCTATTCCAGAATAACAGCTCCTAACTTCATAATCTCATCATGAACTCCAGATAAGAAAACAGCATCACACAAACATCCTAACTAGACTAAACCTCCTAAATCCTGTCCTAACTTTAGGATGAACCCCAACAGGGTCCTCACTTCTGTTTAAGGTCTGTTTCTATGGTTTTTAGGCAGCTGTGTCAG